GAGATCACGATTATTCCTCTCTTAAATTCATAAATAGATGGAAAGTTCGTGGTACAGTGAGACCTACCGTAGCATTGGCGAAAAAAAGCCTGTAAATATCACCTTCCCATTTAAAGGTGATTCAAATGACCTTTTTATTTAAACAAAGGTTTAAATCAATCATTAACAAGACGTATTGTGCAGCAAAGGTCATTCTCAAGGAAAAAACAACCTTCATACTTGATTGAAAACCTAAAAGACATGAAAACGATTCAATCACATCCCACTATGTTTACCAATTTTAATGTGTGTGTGTGTCGTCAAACATACATAAGGAGGAGTAATCGTGACATATATTTTCTCTTTACACTTAAAAGGATGAATAATCTATACACTTTAATTATGAAATATACATTATAATATAGAATTATTAATTTTAATAGTTGAGATTATAAGTCAATTGAAGCTAAACCACGATGGAATACTTGAAAGAACTGGACAGTCGTTTCGTCCTATTGTAAAACTCCACAACAGTGCACATCCACGATCCCACCTTGAGAGATTCCAACCCAAGACATTAACACCATTAGATACCGGCTCAGTGGTGTAGAGGTTAAATATCCTCGCGCGAGACAGATAGGTCGTGGGTTCGAATCTTCAACTATTCAAATTTATTATAATATTCACAAAAATTCTTCTCTACTTATATATTCATTCTGATTAATGTTTATTTAATTTCATATTATTTATAGAATATACCTATTGAACATTATACTCTTTTGATATTAAGTATCGATAATTATTAATCTTTAAATATCATTATAATTGAACATTGAATATTGAACATATCAAAAAAGAATAAAAAGAAAACAATCTTTAATAAAAATAATTAACATTTTTTTTTACCTAAACTTATTCATAGTTGATTAAATTCAAGATTACATGGTTAAGCTAAACATAGAATTCTTTTCTTTTTCTTTTCTTTTTTCTTTTTTCTTTTCTTTTCTCTTTCTTTTTATACATTCGTTAAAGTACATTAACGATTAATTTTGATTTCTTTTCTTTTTCTTTTTTTTCTTTTTCTTTAAAAAATAGATAAAGAAAAGAAAAGATAAATGTTTATTGCTGTTCTTCGCTTTTTTTCTCTCTCTCTTCCTACTCTTTATGAAATAATGATAATAATAATTTGATAGACTATAATATACAAACATTCAATTTGTCTTAACGAACATCAATCAATCAAGTAGAAATTATTTCATTTAGTATATGATGATTGTATTGTATGAATGTGCCTTGAAGTTATTGAAACTCTTCAATAGTAATATACTTGTTTTATTTGAAAAGATTATCAAATCAACTAAATCGGTGAATGGAATAAAGGATCAGTAAAATAACGACAAGACGAGTTAATTATTCCGATGCATCCCAGCCTCGTTAATTAGAAGGCGATGACCTGATTCAAATAAGAGGAAGATATATTCCACAAGCAACCAGAAGCATAAACAACAGCAAGCATACAACTTATGCGTATATATATATAGAACATAAAAATATCCTTGGGAAACGTCACAAAATAGCATATTAAAAGAGGAAACGAACTAGTCATATTTAAAGTCTTGTCAAGTGGGAAATACAAATATAAAGATAATAATGGGCGCTTTTGGCACGAAGATGAGAAATTCACATTTCTAGAGTAAAATTACAAAAATAAGACGTTTTTTTATTAAGTTATTTCTAGGAATTTAGAATCCCCAACAATACTGAAAACATGACCTGGAATCGTTTGAGTTCCATGATTCGCATATCACTTCTAGACAAGTGAGGTTTAATCCAATCGGAATACTTGTGATATAAGCTGATCTTCAAGTTGTGTTATGAAATGATTAAGGTTAGAAACATAGATCCTAATGGATTCTGACTGACTGGTCTAAAGCTTATAAGCTAACTGCCAGACCTGAAAATTCGATATTCCCACAAAATCATGACTACGTACTGTCTTGTTTTCCCATACAAAAAAGTGACGAATAACCAGTGCTACTCTATTTTAGGTAGTTCTTCTTCTGTGCAAAAAAACAATTTGAATTAAATCTCGTTACAAAATAGTCATAACAAAGCAACCCATTTAAGATGTACGTGTTGAACGGGACTTATTGAAATGCAGTCTTGAGTATGAATTACGAAATAATTCTAACCCTTATTGACAATGATACATGTATCAAAACAGTTGACCACGTTCACAACTACCTAAACTCAGTAACTTAGTGGTAACGCATTGGTGTTTGAGTCAGAAGATACCAAATTTGAGTGTCGATGAGGAAATTAACACTAGGATTTGTAGGTATCATTACCAAGGTTTGATTTGATAATTTCGAATAAATTAAACATTGGGTAGATTGTTGTATATAAATAAACAATATATTTGTCATATCCAAATGATTAGAAAAATTAGATTTCCTGACGTTTTTTGACTCAGTGTAAGCCATTTCTTCAGAGAAAAGCAACATCCAATTGAAGAGTCTTAAATAGGACGAAGCATCGCCATACTCCCTTAAAATCTCAAATCAAATAATAACTTACGAACTAACCTAAATTCGGATATATTTAGAATCTGACAGACCTGATAGAAAAAATGAAGGGCTATAAAGTTTGTAAGATTATTTTTTGGGTAGCAGATAGTTCTGCAGCTAACCGTTAGTTTTATATCAGTGTACGATATAGTTTGTAGCATGTGCTACATCTTTTGCTCCCGGGTAACGGCAGAACACATTTAAAATCCTCTCACAGAGTTTTTGTGATAGTATTGTTATTTATTTGTTTCTCCACTCTATCTTATACTTTAACTTTTATTAGGGTCTTTCTAACTGCACTTTATTTTCTCGGGTCTTCCTCATCTGAGCTTTTGTCATGTGACCGCAGCTACAGACTTGCCTTTGGTTACTTAATTTTACCGTTGCATGTTGCTGTACCATCGACAATAAGGTCGTGTTTGACGGAGCTCAAAGTCACGGAGTAGTCCAGTGAATGATTGTTATCCTATGGCTGTGTTCTCGAAAAGGTTGCCGAAATCCTTGCAGATGAATATCTGATCTCATCTTGTTGGGATATTTTTATTGATTCTCAGGTATCGAACTCTTGATTACTAACTATTCCTTTCATTGTTTAACACTTTATGTTGTTCTTGGGAAACCCTTGACTATGTAGCACAGCCTGTACCGTTTGAGATATTTTGTATTTACGATGTTTTTTGTTCTTTTTCGTAAGTTAAAGCCGTTTAAAATGAACACGGAGGTTGTGTTTTGATATCATTTAATGAGAGTCACCCACAGAAAAACGTGGACTTCCCCTTCGTCTTATCCAGATACTAAGGCTGCTTTGATAACTATACAACTCAAAGGATATGACTATGGATGTCTACATGCTCTAAATACTTTTCAGGTGCAGGTACCTTCCTGTACAAAGATTTGTGCAGACTGAATGGATAGAAAATACTCATCTCGAATTTCGACTTTCTTTCCCTAAGCTCTAACGCACGACAGCAATGTATCCTATTTGCTGCTGACGCGGCAGTAGGTTAAACCAAAATCAGCTGTAACCAATTTGAATCAAAAGGTTCCCCTTTAATGTCTCAAACGCAGACCTGTCTACATACTAAAACCAAAGTTTCTTGACATGGTCTGTAATATATTTTTTTATAAATGAGTCCACAAAAGTAAATAAGAGTTCATCTGATTGGATAATAGCATTTCCCTAGTTCACTTGAAGTAGACATTATCACATCCAAACGAGATTTTTCAGTTTGCAAGTTTCTTTTGGGGATAGTTAATAGCTCGTAACGGTTTTTAGCAGTTTGAAGTAAAAATCATTCCAGATGCTGTTATTTGATATCCAAAAAAAGAAAATTAGTTCAGTCAGTAATGTCCATCACGAACTGTATTCGTGGATACGCAGTTTGGCTAAATTAGATTAAATCACGTTAAACGTAGTTAATATGAATAAAAGCCAGTAGTCTTAGTGACTGGATGCACTCCTATACTCGGTAAATTACCCACCGTTTTAACCACATAGAGTACTCAGGTGTCTAAATTAAATAACGCTTGAGCGCTTCACGAAAGGTCATCGTTAGATAGCCTCTGACATCCCGGAGAATTTTAAAATCCTCCTGAAGCTGACTAATCAAGGTAGTTAAAGCATCTCAGTACCATACAGTTTGCTACAACTGACTAAACCCTTCTCATCAGCTTGAGTGATTCTTTTTACGCTTAGCCTACATAACTATAACCTTCGCGGTAGTTTATGTGTTCACTCGAAGTGAGCCAACCATGACACATCATGTATTGACTGATGATCTTATTTCAGCAATTTGACGCATGCAATTAGGAGGCTCTTCTTAGGACAGTGAATTTTTTTGAGCAGTCCCCATAACAACTTTACAGATCAATTGCGAAAACCCAGAATTCTACGTCATTCACATCATAATATTATACCTAAAGATAGTTACTAGGTTTGTTGACAATAATCATAACCGTACGGAAGTGATACTAAAATAAAAGTGGCAGGAGTAAAACGTAGACAGGGAAACATCTCAACATGAAACAGCGCAATTCATTGTTGGAACAGGCAACACTGACAACATGAAAGTGACACTACATTATAAGAATCCAACGCTTTGGGTGGTGAATTTGTTCTTTGACATCCGGAATATGATAATCGATAACACAGTCAACTCACCACATTCCTCCATGTTGAAGGACGATAAATCATCACACCTAGATCATGTGACCCGGAGTAGACAATGCGAATGCAGTTAAAACAAGCGGTTTCAGGTCATTTCAAACACTTGCGACTCGAGTGAACCAACAAAATACGGAACGAAACACGGCATTCATAACCTCGACATTGATGCAGACAAATCCAACCATTAGCTCACAGATTTGGTTTGTTTTCAAAGCACATTTCTGAAAGAATGTTTTATCCTCCAACGTTTTTGATCACAAATTGATACCGAGAAACAGTAAATGCTTGAGGCGCCACTGTTAACATAGTGCGTTACTTTGTGACGTTATCAGACGTTCACTTCTGCTTATTCCGTCGGTAAGATCTTCCCCTTACCTTGTTTCTGTAAACCTAACCTCTAGAAGTGTCTCACTTATTTTATGAAGCCTCTACATCATTCACTTCCTTCTGTCTCATGTTGATCCGAGACTACGATGATTTCATGCTTGTTTTCTTTGACATCGAACAGATAGACGTCATATTTTTAATGGTAGAGGCGGTTAAAAAACAGCATGTCATCAAGTGAGGCTGGCGTTTCCAAAACTTGAAGCTACATCGCATTATTATTAGCCCCTACAATCGAAATGATGATTTTGTGATTGTCACTATCTACTAAATATATAAATTAGATAAATGAAGTCTAATAGTTAGATATAATGCACAATATGTTTTTGCATGGTTCACGAATTTACAGGTTCAAAATTAGGACGATTTCATCTCTGAAGCTCGTTTGCTTTTATTTTAATAGTTGTTGCCTTGCTCTACTTCATGGAGCGCTAATTATTTTGAAGAAGTTATCTCAAGCTCTCTTAAATTTTTGGCCACACGCCGAATACTTCGGCTCTACTAAATGACGATTAGGTATTTACATCCAATATTGTTTAACCGTATATATCGTGCACGAATGATTGCTATCCAATCTAGTCCTAAGTATTCAAGTCCCGTAAAGTTTGGTCCAAGATAATGGAAAACTATAATTCATCAGTGATTCGCGCCCTCATCTCTATACACACAGTAACAAGTCTCCGTCTCTCGCGTTTCTGATCTCATGTGTCACCGCCCCGAGAAGACTGAATAGGATTTCCCTGGTAGTGGCTGTATACGCGTGGCCATGTGAAAGCATGTCGAGAGGGAGAGTAGACTCCCCCATCATCTACCATAGTAGGGCATTTAAGAGCACTGATCCTAAAAAGCGTCAAGTTCAAAACCTGATCATGATTAGATGTGGTCAGATACATAACCGTGAAATATTCCATTGTGAGTTTGTAATCTAACCTAAAGTTTTTCAGAACATAACTATGAGATATTAAATTTTCCCCAATAGTTGAACTGTAGTTTGCTCCTTATTAATGACTATATTTACAAATAAGCTCGTTCACTTTACAAAGAATAAATATGTCCTCTGTAATTCTAGTTTTTAGCAAATGTATAATCGTAACAGTTATAAGTGATTTAACTAAACAATTTACACAGTACAGTAAGTATTTGGTTTGGTTTATTTGTGTATAAACGCCGGTCACATTTAAGTTGGACTCGTTTATTCAAAGGCTGTTCCACATTCATTCCTATTCTGCCTTAAGCTTTATGTGGTAGCCATCCCATTTGAATAACATAAGTAAAAAACTTGGTTTTAAGGTTACATAATATGTTACGTTTCTTTCTATCTATGTATTTAAAGCCAGGCTCAAGCAGTTTGAAAAAAAAGTAATTTTCACATTTCCAGGATGAGATACTGTATGAGTAAAAATATATCAGTCTAAGTGATTCCAGTCTCACAGGTACTCCATAATTTATTGTGTAGAAGCAGATATCATAGGCACTTGAACATCACTAATCTTATTTCTATAATCAGCAACAGATTGCGACGTCTTAAGAGGTTGAGCATCACTTCGTTAAAGTAAGGTGAATAAAGCGAAGCCTCTTGATACAATTTGAATCAAATTTATCATGTTGTTGGAGTAGTTTTCTGTATGTTTGCATTCCGATTACCAGTTTTATTTATTTATTATTGATTTGAAAACATAAATATTGGTACAAAAGGCACCAAATATATATGCGCCACACAAAACAATGGAAATTTAAAGAGGAGGGAAAAAAGGTAAGGAATGTAGGGAATTATAAAAAAAGAACAATAATGGGGGAAACAGAAAGGTACAATCAGAAGAAATCTTTCAGTTCAGGAAGAAGCGACCACTCTTTACGAAGAAAGTAAAAGAAGGTTACAGCAGGATCGCCAATGGCTTCTATTCTAAGCCATATCTGATAACGTTTCTAGCCACTGTGTTACACCATCTCTCGGACCCCAACTAGGAAATCGAGAAGGACCAACACAAGCCAGCTCTTCGCAGCTTTCTTTCATACCACGACACCATCTCATACACTGACCACCTCTCTGCTCTTTCCAACCAGTCCCAGCGTCGGCAAATAATGCATGACGTGGAATTCTCTGGGACGACATTCGTAGAACATGTCCAAGCCACCAAAGTCTGTGTTTCAAGATGGTGACACCAATTGCATTATCGTCTCTGTGCCCGAACACACGATGCCGAACCTCTGCATTACTAACATGGTGTTGCCACTGGATGTCAGCAATCCTTCGGAGACAGCGATGATCGAACACAGAGAGTCGTCTAACATCCTCAACTTGGAGAGGCCAGGTTTCACAAGCATAGAGCAGAACTGCTCTCACCGACACGTTGTAGATCCGACCTTTTATAGCCAGACTAACATCACGAAGGCGCCAAAGATGGCTCAGATTGGCATAAGTCGCTCTGGCTTTCACTGTACGTGCATTGATCTCATCACTCACGCCACCATCAGCACTTATGCAGCTACCCAGATACACGAACTTCTCGACTACTTCTATCTGCTCACCATCCAGAGTGAGTACAGGATTAGAATCCTGCCAGTCTTGTAGAAGTACTTTGCACTTCGAAGATGCAAAGCACATACCATACCTACGGACACTGATTGCCAATTGATTAAGTGCGGATTGCATGGCTTGGGCATTATCGCACAGTAAGACAATATCATCGCATACTCAAGGTCGAGAAGTCTTTCTCCAAGCAACAGATCCACACCACCATTACTTACATCCGCCAGAGCTGTTTCCATAATGTCCTCGATGGCAAAGTTGAGGAGGAATGGTGAGATTGGGCAACCCTGCCTAACCTCACTGCTCGAATGGAATAATGGAGAAAGATGGTTATATGCCCTCACTCTGCCTGAGGTGTTTATGTATAGGGCTTTTAGGATGTTAATAAACTTCTCAGGCACACCCTTCTTCAATAGACATTTCCAGAGAACAGTCCTGTTCAACGAATCGAAGGCAGCCCTGATGTCAAGAAACACTACGATTGTTGGCCTTTGATAAGTATGGAGGTGTTCTAGCATTTGGCAGAGGGTGAAGATATGATCAATACATCCTCGACCAGAACGAAACCCAGCCTGCTCCTCGCGAGTCAATCTTTCTCGGGTTTTGAACAACCTACGAAGTATAACGGGAGCCAATAGCTTGGACGCAAGCGGAAGTAGACTTATCTTCCGATAGTTGTTACAGGAACGACGTGAACCCTTTTTAAAGATAGGGACAACTATCGACTCATTCCATGACGTCGGTACACTCTCTAGTTCCTAGACCTTTGTAAACAACGTCGTCAGTCCCTTAGTCAGAAAGTCACCACCATCTTTAAAAAGAGCCGGAGGTAAGTCATGATGAACTATCTACTTATGGAAAATATTCCTTTCGCTCCAAATAACAGTGAAATGACTCGCACTATTATTATTATTATTTACTACGTCATTTATTCACTCTCTCTTATTCCCACTTTATGTATCCTTTTCGACTTAGGCAGTAGCTTGCGTATGGTGGAAATTCGGCTCTATCTAAACGTTCTCGAGTCACTGCCTGGTTGAAAATTGTATGTTACCACCGAATACGAGTACTGAAACAGTTTTTCTGAAATCACGTGCACCATTCAAACTGGCTGCCTTCAACGTTCGCACATTTATGCAGGTCGGACAACAGATAGGGCTGGCTATGTCTTTGGAAAGTCTTAATATTGACGTTTGTTGTCTATCCGAGACCTGTATTAAAGACTCTGGTGAAGTACTACAAGTTCGCTCTCCATCTGGGATCCAGTCGATTAGTGCTGCCTCAGGTCAACTTCTTAGTGCGACACCAATGCCAGCAAGACCAGACGAAGATGCCACAGGGTCCCCGGATAAACGCACGTAAAACAAGCTTTTTGAAGTGACAAATGGAGTGCAAACTTGTAGTACTTCACCAGAGTCTTGATTACGGGTCGTTATGAACATGAACAGTCTACTTATGGCTTACCAGTTAGTTTCTATCGGTTCCATTTACTAAAGAAATAAAATACATTCCGGTTTTCTGTTTGAAAAGTAATTAATTTGTGTATTTATTTTGTTGAATACCTGCTTTTAAATCCATAGGGTATGTTATTTACTATTCGTTTCTTATAGAATTTAAATGACTTGGACTCGTTCTGAAGTGCAGTATGGAATATTACAAAAACTATGTTTACACGCTATTAAATACGGGCCAATTCCAAAACATGTTGCTTTTATTATGGATGGGAATAGACGTTTTGCTGATAGTAAAATGTTAAAGAAGTCTGATGGCCATTTACATGGTTTTACAAAACTCTCTGAGGTACGTCGTTTCTTAAATTTAATTATATCTAAATACACTTATTGATATTTTACTCAGACTTTACAATGGTGTCGTGATATTGGCATTGAAGAAGTATCAATATTTACTTTTAGTATAGACAATTTCAATAGATCTCATGAGGAAGTTTCATTTTTAATGAATTTAGCTGAAGAAAAGCTTCAAGAGTTACTAGATAATAAGTAAGAAGTATCACGATCATTCTTCTTCTTCTTATTATTATTATCACTTTTCCCCTAACCATTATATTACTTTCCTTTTAGAGATGAATTGAAAGCAGATGATATATGTATTCGTGTTATTGGCAATTTAGCGTTACTACCAGCAAAAGTTCAAAGTTTGGCCGCACAATTAATGCTTGTTACTAGGAATCATTCAAAGTCAGTAAAAAGTTAACGTCTCCACAATTTTATTAAACACTAATTTACGTATATTATTTAAACTGGAAACTGGTTGTCAAGATATGTGATCCTATTTATGCGAATAGTTTTTGGAAGTAGTAGATATTTGTAGGTTACCAGATATCTTCAAAACACTGCTCGCGTTTAGCAGAACACAGAATAGGTTAATAAATCTGAATCTTCACCGACTGAAGAGTGTGTAACATATGTCACTTACCTAACCATCACCTATCTTAATATACAATGCTAGCTGTCAAAGTAGGTTGGAAAGAAGCTGGAATAAGGCAAACTATACACACTGTTAATCAACAAAATCAGTGACTGTCAAACTAAGCTGGGTCAGTAGACTCACATTAGTTGATTGGAGTCACTCGTCGGAAACATGACTCACAATCAGTTGCATAAGCGTAAATGCATTCGTTTTTCATCTTCCTCTCAATATTCCTTAATACACAATTACTTCTCGAACCATGTTCTCCAAACTTCAGTTTTTCTCGTTATCAGTTTGATAACTAACTGACTATATTCACTGGTTAGATTTTTTTTCTTAGTTGTTTCCTTTTCATTTTCTTCATAGATCAATATTAAACATATGTATGGCATATAATAGTCGAAATGATATTACACATGCAATGGAAATTGTACGTTTAGGTGTGAAGGAAGGAAAAATTATACCTAGGTAAGTGATGAATTCGTTTCTTCTTTTCTCAGCTCCCCCTAAAGTTAAATCAAATTCTTTGTACTTCCATTTAGGTTTCACTGGATTACTGACTTTACTGTCATCTTCCTCTTTCTGTCTCTTAGGACACTTCGGTTCTCATGGTGAATCCCTTACCATATATCTCTTTCATTGATACAGCATCTCCTGATTTGCAGAACTAAAATATTTGCATAATTTACAAAGTATTTTCATTGAAATCACGAACCTATCTAAGTTGGACAACCATTGTAAACCAGGAAGCACGGGATGGCCGTTAGCACAATACCGTGGGCTAATTGACTTATATATCACTAGATTCCAGTTCAGTGTAGGCTAAGCGTTCGCACTTGAGACCTAAAGTTTTAAGTTTAACTCCCAGTTGCAAGGGCATAGACGCGGAATGTTGAGGAGTCCGATAGTGGGATGAAACAGTCATCCATTGCTATCGGGTTTTTAGTGGTTGTCTAAATTAGAATCGGTTTGTAATCTCAAAGAAATTCAACAATCTATACAATGCCATAATGGAAATATTCCTAATCACTATTGATGGAATCGATAGACGGGTGGACAAACGAAATGGCTTCAAATACATTCTTGCACAAAAGTTCATCGGTTTGTTTATTATTCACACATTGTAACACTCCAAATTCAAAGATAAAATCAATTCCGCCAAACTAAACGGAAAAAAAAATAAATGTAGAGCTCTGTGCTCTAGAATTATTTGTTGAAGAAGGATGTATCTGATATGTTTATCAGTATATTGAAGGCTCTTCACATAAATATTTCAGGTAGAGTAAGGGCATACTAAATTAGACATTTTTAGCTCAGTTGTAGTGTTACCCAAATTCAAAGAATCGGATTTACAACGTATTGGTGAGAGCAGTTATGCCGTATGTTTTTGAGATCTTGTTACAGTTAGCTGTGAATGTTCATTAAAACTCTATGTGCTTGATCATTGTCATCTCTGAAAGATTTCTGTTACCATTTTTGTTTTTCAACAACAAAACAATTTCAGTACTCTGATCCAAAAAACTCGCTAATAATCACTGATAAATTTCATGACATTTTGTCGTGATACATCCATTATCCGCATAGAAATTATTATTTACTGTTTATTCTTTGAAAAGGAATTCATAAGAACAGTACTAGCTTAGTTCATTTGTTTACATATTCCGAACATAGTTTATTTGTCAAAGAATTACTTTTAATAGTTAAGATCATGAGTCAGTTGAAGCTAGACCACCATGGAATACCTGGAAGCATTGGACGGTCGATTCGTCCTATTATGGGACTCCTCAGCAGTGCGCATCCACAAGCTTGCCCCCCGCGAGTTTCGAACCCAGGGCCTATCAGTTTCGCGCGCGAACACTAGATTCGAATCTCGCAGGGGGCGAGCTCGTGGATGCGCACTACTGAGGAGTCCCATAATAGAACGAATCGACCGTTCAATGCTTCCAGGTATTCCATGGTGGTCTAGTTTCAATTGACTCATGATTTCAACCATTAAAATTCCTATAATATCCACAAAATCCATCTGATATTAATTACCCTTAACTTATTATAAATTGTATTTTATAATAACTTTTAGTGATATAACACGTGAACTATTATCAAAATGTTTATATACACGTTTATCAAAACCATTAGATTTATTAATTCGTACTTCTGGTGAAATACGTTTAAGTGATTTTTTAACTTGGCAAGTATCAGATAATGATACAATTTATAAATTTATTAATAATTATTGGCCAGAATTTACATGGTGGGATTTTCTTTCATCTATAATACATTATCAAATGTCATATCTACAATTATTAGTAAGTATAAATTATATAAGAATGATAATTTAAAATAAAGATTTGTTTGTTGTATAGTTCTAAAGTGTATTTCATTCTTCTTGGTATCTAATACTAAATGATAAAGTATTATTTAACTTTTAATTTAGAGAATTTAATTTATGTTAATGATAAACAATTTGAAATTGGATTTATTTATTTGAACAAAAAATGGGTATCAAATATATAGACACAACACAGCTCCCAAATGCCTTGGTACGGCTGAGAGTGGAGAGAGTTCATTCTCCCTCTCGAAATGCTCTCATATGGCCATGCGTATATAACCTCTGCCAGGGAAGTCCTACTCACTGTCTTCTCGTGACGGGGGTGTTGTTTACGAAAATGAGAGGACGAAAAGTGAATGTCCGGCACCAGCTTTAACCGGATCCAAAACCAATGGTGCACATGGGCTCTAGTATCCTGCGGAACAAATAGCGTATGAACCAATCGTTGGTCATCGGTTACCATGGGACTGCACTCTCTGTCTTCCTTTAAACTAAGAGATTAAAATCGCTTCATATCTTTCTTTCTAGGAACTAATTCTTTCTTCCTGTACTATATCCTTATACGCAATCTTTCTTCCATATATTACCACCACTGAATTAACTACTTCTATGAATCCGGTGTCCATCTTGTTGTGCTAATGCGGTATGGCAACTTGGACCGATGCATATACGTGCCTGGTCCTACGTTGCAGCTGACTGACTGACTGCATCTCCTTACGATGCTCCACTGCCTTGTGGATCAGATCTTCAAGTCGAAGGCTCGGGGTGTGGCCTCCTAAGAAAACCACCTGCTTCGGTTTGGGCACCTGGGCAGTATCACAGCCCTCACACAAACCAATTAAGATTCGTGTGGTGCATATATATTTGCTGCCTCCTTGTACTAATACTTATGTGTTAAAATAAATAAGACACTACACAAGTCACTTGATTTGTGCGTGGGCTGTGATGCTGCCCGGGTGCTCAAACTGAAGCGGATGGTTTTCTTAGGGGATCATAACCGAAGCCTGCGACCTAAAGGTCTGATCCACAAAGCAGTGGAATAACGTCAGGAGATGCAGTCCCATGGTAGCCGATCACCAACAACAGAGTCATATTGGAGCCCATGTTTACCATTCGTTTTTGGGATCAGGGTTTTCCAACTCCCCTAGTTGGATTCTCTGTGTACACCAATCCAGTTAATAAAACGCCGGACATTCGCTTTTCATCCTCTCAATTTTGTAAACAACAGTAATGCCGCGAGAAGGTAGTGAGTAGGACTTCCCTGACAGTGAACTCCTCAACATACGAACTTACCAAGGATCGTGATGTACATACCCTCAAACCACGTGGCCATGTGATAGCATTTCGAGAGACAGAGAGAGCTGACTCGCTCCACTCTTAACCAATACCAGGGTATGTGGGGGGGTGCGTGCTAAATATATGGAAGAGGTGGGATTCGAACACATACGCTTTCAGATTGGTGTCTAAAACCAGAGTTTTGGATGGCTCGATCATTCTAACTTTGTAGCAGATGAATCATACAGTAATATGTTCATGAATTACTTGATTAAGTAACTGATCGAATCCGTCTATTCATTTTTATCTATCTATTTGTATTTGAAACTAAATTCTATATTGTTTTTTAGCCATTAATTAATTCGAAACGAATGAATAACAAATTGAATGATATTAATAATACTAATAATTCAATTAACAATGATTTACTATTGAATATGATCCATTCAAAAGAATATGAAGCACATAAACAACGTGTCAATTCATTTTTAGATTATTTAGATCAAACATTTTGGCAAAATATGACCATTTTAGCTGCTTAGTTTTTAATGTGAACAAGATTTCCACTCTTTCTCTCTCTCTCTCTCTTTCTGTGTGTGTGTGTGTGAGAGAGAGAGAGTATGTATCTGTGCAATTCCTCATAGAATGAATTCATGATTTCACTCGGCCATTAATGTACAAATGATTTTATACTTATTTACAATTTATGTATTTAAAAAAAGAAGAAGCAATATTACGATATACCTTTTGTTCTTATTGCCTTAGATACATGATGAAGTTTTCTTTTAGTTGAGAAAGATTATTATAATACAATTCAGTCAGTCAGTCAGTCAATTACCACGTAGAACCAAGCACATATATGCATCGGTCCAAGTTGCCACACCTTACTCAATAGCACAACAAGATCAACATAGGATTCATAGAAGTAGTTCCTTCAGTGGTAGTAATATATAAAAGAAAGATTGCATTAAAGGATATAGTACAGAAAGAAAGAATTAGTTAGTTGGTAGAAAGAAAGATATAAAGCAAATTTAATCTCACAGTTTAAGGGAAGACAAAGATTGAATACACCTACACCATTGTGATCAATTCTGAGCCATGTCACCAAGAGTGCTGTTCGTCTAAACGGCTCCGTATGGTACAATTAGATACTTTAAACCCAGTAATTTAATCATGAAACTATCATTGTCTTTATGGACAACAGTTATCATCAACAAAACGAGAATCTAGAAAGAAATAAACTGTTAGAATTTTTCTCTACAAATGACTAACAATTTGTAGGTATCAATACCTAATAATATATATAAATAGCGCTCGCGCGCAAGTCTGATAAATCCTCAGTTCGAATGCCGTGAACAGGATCGTAGATGCGTACTGTTGAGGAGTCACACATACTAGGACGAAACAACCGTCCAGCACTTCCAGGTTCTCCATAGTGGTCTAGCATCAATTGACTGATGAATTCAATTATTAAATTACTATAATATCTACAAAACCCATTTCTAATAGTAATGGAATTACCAATAATTGGATTTATTATGGAAGCGTTAATACAGAGAATGAAAGCTTCAATCTTACCGAAGAGCATAAAAAGAGAAGTGTATTGTTTATATGGAAGGTGGATTCTTCATAGTTAAAAAAAAATTAACTAGAGAAAGTACCTCCAACCATTTAGTAAATTTTTAAAAAATTGTGAAAATGAGGAATCAAGTTGGAGAAGAAAACAATTCAGGAAGTATGAAGATAAGACATGGTATTGACAATAACAATGAAACTATAATTTATGGGCGACCTTTGAGAGATGTCAAAGTGATCTTAAGGATATCCACCTAGTTACTGGAGCTAAATGAGGATTATAAACCAGCGTGAGGAATTAGAATTATGATTTACAATTGATAGTTAAGGTTAGGAAGTAGATTTAGAGTTTTCATTACGAACTGATATCAGCTATAATGCCAGAACTATTTAGCCAAGTGGATGAGTGAATTTAGCGCCAAAATCCAAGACTTGTTATCCTGAATCTGATTGGTTCGTCCATAAATTATAGTCTCATAGTGTTATATGTTGTGAGACGCGCTGATTAGAGGACAGCGAATTATCGATCAGATCAAAGATGCGTAAAACACGTAAGAACAGCCTAGAGTTCTGATTGGCCCTACTTCCCTGTCTAGCCCAACCAGTGCCAGTCCAGAATGCAAGTCTCAGCCTCTGCGATATGAATCATTATATTTCAAACATACTCTGTCTATATACCAACCAAACAGACTACATCGTACTATAAAATAGAAAATAACATTTGTGCAAGATTTGACCAATAGGAAAATGACATCATTTCATGTTCAGGGATAGCATTAGACTTAACAGGATAATTTTTGGAATATTTTTCTGAATATCCCAACACATAGTCTAATTGACTCAACATTGTCTGCTTTATTTTAGTGTTTGCTGGTTGTTGATACTCATGTAAACTATATGGCCTTATGGTCTGTCTCAGATAATCTGCAATCACATCAACTAAATCTGGACTTTACGCATATAGTATGTTGTTGATTACTTACCCAATAAATAGTAGACTATGAACATGTGACTATGTAGAACTATAACTGATCATAAAATAACGCAATACTAGAATTAGTTTTTTTTTGTTGTTGTTGTTGTATTGGATTATACTTATTGAATGAACAATTAATAACTCTTAGGTCATTGAGATCTTTGATTACAAACTCCTATAAGCATGATTTGTTCTGAAAATTTTATTAACAGTAACATAACACTCAGATCAAAAACTGACTTCATCTGGACAATCATTAAAGGATAGGTAGCACCGATTTATGTAATTTCTCAGCAGTGTACATCCATACTTTGTCAAGAAATGGACCCCCCAGGAAAATCTCGAAGTACTTATTCTATCAATATCAACTAACAATTTTCTTACACAGAATCCAATTAGCAAAATTGACCATCCACATATATATGTACCGAGAAATTGAAAGATAATCGAGTAACTGTATATTGTTGAATAGTATAACAATACAAATATAAAGTTTGGTGTTATACATACAAATCAGATGTTTTATTTCTTGACAACATATCAAGAAAAACCTTCAATTACTTACTGATGAATTTTCCTTGAAAAATATTCACGATCCAAATAGCCAAGAAGTATCAACTACCTATACACTTTTAACAGTATTACCTCAAGTTAAGTTGAATTACAGACTTGAAATTGAAAAGTCATAGCTTATTGTTTTGTTGACATTTTGCTTTGGCGATTCAAATGTACATCAATGTTTATCATCATTGAACTATGCATGTTATTACGAACTTTCTACAGAACTAGATTTATGTAACAATCACTAAAGAAGATAGCTTAACTCAATTCCTAGACAAGATTCAGATATTTGATTGATTGTACGATTTGCTTAAACACAATTTTAATGACTGATAAGATTATGAGCTATTCTGATGGAGCATACATTGTGGATTATCTAAGAAGTGAAGGATTATGACAAAAAAAACCTTTGCTTTACTTCATTCAATATGGTTATGTGTTATAATGATAACAAGATAGATTGTATATTATTAAATATGAGTAGAAAAGCTGTTTACAAATAGGATCTTAGTTTACAATAGAAACTAATGATAGTAGTAACAAATACAACAATATTCATAAAAATTTTGAAACAGATTAAAATTGATTTTGTAAGTACCTATCTAAAGTCTCCAAATGATTGATCACATGTACTAATATTTGCACAAGGTTTATCTTGAACTTGAACCACAAGAAAATATATATATATATATATAATATAAAAACCATGTGAAGCCTTAATATGATCTATAATACCTGTATTTTAATTAGACCACACGCAGGCGCCCCCAAATGCCCTGGTATGGCCGAGAGTGGGGAAAGTCCGCTCTCCCTCTCGAAATACTCTCACATGGCCACGCGTATATAGCCTCTGCCAGGGAAGTCCTACTCACTGCCTTCTTGTGGCGAGGGTGTTGTCTACGAAAATGAGAGGACGAAAACGAATTTCCAGCGCTATAACCGGATCTCAAACCCATGGTGCACATGGGCTGGCTCCAGTATCCTGATTTATTATTTATTTATTTTTAACACATAGGCATTTGTACAAGGAGGCAATATATACATATGCACCACACGAATCTCAATTGATTTGTGTGAGGGCTGTCATACTGCCCGGGTGCTCAAACCGAAGCAGGTGGTTTTCTTAGGGGGCCACACCCCGAGCCTTTGACCTGAACGTCTGACCCACAAGGCAGTGGAGCATCGTGAGGAGATGCAGTCCCATGGTAGCCGGTGACCAACGATTGGTTCATACGCCATTTGTTCCTTCAGGATATTGGAGCTAGCCCATGTGCACCATTGGTTTGGGGTCCGGTTAAAGCGCCAGACATTCGCTTTTCGTCCTCTCATTTTTGTAAACAACACCCCCGCCACGAGAAGGCAATGAGTAGGACTTCCCTGACAGAGGCTATATACGCGTGGCCATGTGAGAGCATTTCGAGAGGACTCTCCCCACTTTTGGCCGTACCAGGGCATTCGGGGGCCCAGTATCCTGAAGGAACAAATGCCGTATGAACCAATCGTTGGTCACCGGCTATCATGGAACTGCATCTCCTTACGATGCTCCACTGCCTTGTGGATCAGATCTTCAGGTCGAAGGCTCGGGGTGTGGTCCCCTAAGAAAACCACCTGCTTCGGTCTGGGCACCCGGGCAGTATGACAGCCCTCACACAAATCAATTAAGATCCGTGTGGTGCATATGTATTTGGTGCCTCCTTGTACCGATACCTATGTATTAAAATAAAATAAATAATCCCGAAAGATAGTCCAGGACAAGTGCCTTGAGACAGTATCAGTGATGGTTCAGAATAGAAACTAGTGGCAGCAATTTTCTCATGTAAGTCAGAGGAACTTCTTTAACAGAAAGAATCATTTCTGATTGTATTTTTCTTGAATGAACTACTTCTCTCATTATTAATTTTTTTCACTCAGACATTAATTTCTATTCATTTTGTCTTATTCAACTTCCTTTCTCATTTTTATTGTGTGGCGAATATAGATTTTAGTGCTCTTTTGTATCAGATTAATGAAGTTAGGTATACACTACTATACTGAATTCAAAAAACATAGATAACTTACTTAAATTAAGCAATACATTCGTCCGGAATTTCGCATTTTCTTCTTACATCAGTTAGCTATGTGCAACATAGAACGTGAAGTATATGTGTATCACTTCAAATTGTCATTCTGCATTAACATAGCGAAATAGAATTATTTCAAAACAAATTCTAGTAGTAGAAAAGATTAGGTATAAATATAAAAGATATGAGGGAATATAAAGACTCATGTTCTCAAGGAAAGCAAAGAGGGGATGTATATGCGCTATTGCAAACAACTCTGAGCCATGTCATCCAATATCTGATCATTGGTTATGATAATCACCTAGACCCCAATCAGGTAGTCTACATTTATTTAAATGGCTAAGTTCAACTGTCAATGACTTCAAACACCGGTGTCACGTCTTGGTTTGGTCGCCATTAGCTTTGTTCCAGTCTACTTCTACACTAGACAACATCTTCCGTACATTAAGCTGATGAAAGTTGTTGGAAATCAGTTTGATTTAATTTTTTGTTTTACGAAGTTATTCTTGAGTTCGCTGATTTATTAGAAATTCGTTTTCCATTTAAATGATGGTATTGAACTTACAAA